AGAGGCATGATACGAGAGCAGTATTGTCCTCCTCCCCATTCCCACCAGTGGCTCACAGAAGGGTCCACGTGCTGGCCTTCACAAGATTCATGAGCCAATGACAGCAGGAGAACATCCCTCCACAAACAGCTAGGCAAACTGAATGAAACCAACCTGCACTGGAGTTTGAGGGTAGTAGCTGCAGTGCCAAGATCCCCTGTCGAACCATGCTGACAAGGCCAACATCAGCAGTGACAACAGACACGCTGGGCTTCCTCCCAGAAGGCTCCTGCACATCACCAGAGCTCTCTTGGCTCAGGGGTGATAAATCCACCTGGGAAAGGAAGAAATGAAAACAACAAAAAACCACCAATATCATAATGCCCCACTCTCCCAAACGCCTTCAGTTTAGCAATTCCCACAGTACCACAGCCTTGGAGCACTTCAACAGACTCCACTTTTAGCTTTAGTTTTCAAATTGTAATCACATGGTCCCCTTATAGCAGTTAGGCAAGGGTGCTTGGGATGGAAGAGGAGAATGTGCTCAGAGCTTTATTACATATGTTCATTTCTAACAGGAAAGATGAGAAACGTCAGCGTCGCTCAAGTTTCTTTGCGGAGCACAGCAGCTCTCAGCTCAAGATGCTGAATGTCTCTCACCTTCCTTGTCATCTGAAAGAAGCTGCAGCTTCTCAGCATTTACTCAAGCTCAGAAATGCAGAAGACACTGAGACAACTATAGCTCATCTACAAAGCACAGCAGCAGAGGGGGGTAAGGAGCTTTGTAAAGACAAAGTCCAGTGCCTACATGCTTAACTCTGTTCAGACAGCGCTAGTTATGCAGTGCTGCCATAAGCAAACGCAGGTAAGCTTCTGTGAAAAACACTCCCCAGGCAAAGCCTGGAATTTGTATAATTACAGCTCTGAGGAACCTACTATGTACACAGTCTCCTCATCTCCAGAAGGTTCTGGCAGTTCAACCCTATAATAAACTATTGCTTCATTTTTACTGCTAATGCAGAGAATGGACGAGACCCTCCCCAGCAAAGCTACACAGATGACTGAAGCTGGGAGAAGTTAGAACAAGTGAAACTTTTGTTCTGCACAAATGGGAGCAGTCTGTCACTGAAAGTTAAAAAAAAAATGTGACTATCCATCACTTTAATTTGCTAGCTGCCCTCAATTCAGCCACTTGTTGACAACAATCTAGCCAATGCAATTTCAAAAGTGAAAACAAAAAAAGTTTCAGTTGCTGCCCTTCCCCTGGGGCCTCCCACCTCCACCACACAGCCCATGGCAGGACCTGCCAGTTTCTCTGGCCTGCAAAGGCGTCCCTTACCTCCATTTGCATGGAAGAAGTTAGAGGGCAGTTGACTATGAGAGAAAAACTGCAGCGCATAGGAATGCATACAAAGCACTGCAAAAACACCAGCTGCACACACAGGAAAGCTGTGCTTCCTGTAGTCCTCCTCCTGTTGCAGCACTGATGGTCTCAGCATTCAGAGACAAACATTTCAGCTCAAGTGTGAGATGTTGAGCAGTTCAGATACACAACTGCAAGAGGTCACCAGTAGCCTCTTATTCACTTGGCTGAGATTTTTTCTTTTCTTTTTTTTGGTCTTGTTTTGCCAAATATTAAAAAATAATTTTAAAATAAGGACTAAATAATCATAACCAGGCCAACACTGCCTTTGACTGCAGAAAAAGTCCTCATAGATATGATTCTGACTCTAGATCAGCATGGCAGTACTGCAACATAACCTTCACATTCCTTGCTTCCAAGATCAGGGAGATGATCTTGATGAGAAATCCACAGACACTCTGAATCCCTAGAAAATTTCATTTTTACTTTCCTCCAATGCTATTTCCATAGCACTGTCATTAAGTTGCTGCCACCTATGTCTTAGAAACTGCTCCAGTATACTTAGTTTCATGGTTTGTTTTCCTGGTAACAAAGAAGTGTTTTCACTCAAGAGTGCATCCTACAGCCTGTTCAATGATATCAAAGTCAACAGGCTGCTTTGCCACACTTTATTTAAGCACTTCATTGTTATCATTGGAAAAGGTAACTGTTTTCATTAGTCCTTCCCTTAAACATTTACTGGTTCTGCTTTTCTCAGATTCACTTCTCGTTATTAGACCCCACAAAGTTCTCTTACAAACTCCTTAGCTGTTCCTTCTTCAGACTTACAGCAGTGTTCCTCTATTTGCCACTCCACCCACAGGGCTTCACAGTACAGATCTTTATTTAGCCAAGAAACCCCATCCACCTCTGACCTCCTCACCTGTGGTTTGGGTTCATACTGTTGCTGGAGCATCTCTGCCACTTTGTTTTCAAAGGCACACAGCTGTGTGTAAACTTGGTGCAGAAAGGCTTCTCTCTTTGTCTCATCCAGCTGACAGCCCTGGAATAGCACCTGGCCCAAGGACACACACATCAGCCAAAGAGTTTTATGGTATCAATCCCTATAACACAGTTCAGAAATGTTCCTTACAAAGTAGAGCGTAGGCCCCTTGTCACTATTCCTGTCTGGGGCCAACTGCCTGTATGCAACAGAATTCCATGGCATCTGCAGTGCACTTTGTGCAGATGCTCACAGCTCTGGGAGATTTTGCTCTTAAGTGAAAAATTTCTACTCTTTTGCCTTCTTCTAAAAAAAAATTAACACGGGATCCTTATTAGAAGGCATTAACTCTGGCCTGACATTTCTAAAAAAGATCTGTTTCTTCTAACTCACCTACTGAATGATCCATTTCTCTTCTAGAAAGAGGCTGGACAGTGGAGTAATATGTTGAAATTAAGGAAGGAGGAGTTAGAAAGGAGTTAGACTGGACATTACAAAAGAGGCTGAGTGATACGACAGGGGGAGCTTGCCTCCACAGAAGTTACCCATGCTGGCTGGCACAAAGATGCCATTTATGGCACCATGGTACAGGCAATTTCTGCCAAAACCAGGTATCACAGAACAAGGAGGCAAAGAGGATACAACACCAGAAAAGTGAATATGACATGAAAACACTGTAAGATGGAAGGGAACAACACAATAACAAACTTCAAAAACCTCACAGGCATGATAGGCCAAACTTCAGTGTATTGAGAAGACCTGCTCTAGCTCAAGTACATGAGAGACTACTGGGGGGTTGCCCTCTCCACTAGGGGAAGCACATTTCTATCAATGCAAAAAAAGAACTAAGTTTGTACAAAGAGGAAATTGTCACTGAATAAACCACTGCTACACAGTTGAAGCAGGCAGACAAGCTTTTGGACACCTTTTCCTGAATGTTTCAAATTACAACAGGCCAAAATGAATTAGTCAGTAGAAATTAAAATAAAACAAACAGAGCAACACCAACAAAAACACACAGTAGTCATGAGGGCAAAGATTCCCTGTGCTCTGAGAAGGGCCCTGCTCTCCTACGAGAAACCTCTGCTTCCTCTCAGAAAAAAGAAGTTGATCACCTACGCTTCTCTGTCGCAGCAGGCTGCACATTTTAAATAAGCAAGATTGCAACACCCTGCTTACCAGAGCCCAGCTAACAGATATCCCTACTTTCCTCTGGACTGACAGAAAACCAATGCAGCAAGCTGCTGAGGCAATGAGATGCCAAGGGCAAGGCCAAGTTTTACCTGGTGGGATTGCAGACCAATGATGGAGGAGTACGCCTGGATGGTGACAAAGATCTCAGGCTGATAAATAATGTCTGAACCAGGGATTCGGAAAGGTCTTAACAATCCCACTAAGCATCGGGAAAGAGCATGAAACACTTCATCAAAAATGATCTCCCCTGTTGAGTCATCCTACAGAAACAGAAGAGAATTACAGAATCATTAAGGCTGAAAAAGACTGCTAAGATTACTTAGTCCAACTGCCAATCCATCCCCACTATGCCCACCAACTATATTCCTCAGTGCCACATCTCCATGGCTTTTGAACCCCTCCTCAATTCTTCTGACCACACTACTTCTGATACAAGCCAGGTTGCCTTCTTGGCCACCCAGATACACTGCTGGCCACGTTCAGCCAGCCATCAGCTAACACATCTAGATCCTTTCTCTCTATGAAGCTCTCAGCCACAGCGCCCCAAGCCTTGCACGAGGTAAACAAAACAGCTTTTACATCTTCTAGAATCTGCAGTCTCATCACATACACCACACAGAGAAAAGTACAAGCCTCCTTCTGCAACAGCAGCTGCATCAGAATGAACCCTGCAAACAAAGGCCACACATTCTGCAAGGAAACAGGATCCATTGCAAGGCTGTGTCATGAGCAGCACCACCTGCTTCACCCCTCGGGAATACAGAACCTCTGCAGAAGTGACAACTAATGCAGAGATGCATGCCTTCTCAGCAGAGGGAATCAAGCCCAGTCCTTCAGCACAGAACACCCTAGAGAGACAGCTCATAGACTCACCACAATGCCAGTGGAAGGGCTCAGATCAAGCTCGATCACAAAGCGGTACTGGCGGGCCAGGAAGGTGACACGCGTGGAGGGCACCAGGAGGTAGGGCCGGGGCTGGACGGGCTCATCCGGCTGCCATCCATTGGGCAGGATGCTGAGCACATCCAGCTCGTTTTCTGACTTCAACTACAACAAGAAGTGAAAGACAGGCAAGAGACATCACGCCAAGCCAAAGGACACACCAAGATGCAGGGCCACCACCCATCCCTGCGGCACTCCCCGGCCCCCACTCACCAGCTCGGGCTCGGGCACGGCCCAGATGACCTGGTGGAGCCGGCTGAGGACCCAGGCGAGCCGCACGTTGCGGGAGATGCGGTAGTCCTTCTTCATCAGGAGGAAGACGTGCCCGGCCTCCTCCACCTGCAGCGCGCAGAGCACAGCGCCTCGTCACTCCGGGCCGGGCACCGCGACAGCCCCCCAGCCCCTCTACGCCCGATCTCAGGGCCGCTACAACCGCGCCTCGAACCGCCCCGCAGCCCGCTCCCGCTCACCTCCGCCTCGGGCCTCTCGGCAGCCGCCATGTCCGCCCGGCGCCCCGCCCCGCGCCCTCTGTCCCGCGCCCTCTGACCCCGCCTCTGCGCGCCTGACCCGGAAGTGGAAGGCTCCTGTAGCAACAGGGCCGCGCCGCCATGCAGGTGAGGGGCTGCGGGTTGGGTTGCGTTGCGCCGGGCCGGGAGGAGCGGTAGGCCCGCCTTGGGTCCCGCGAGCCGGGCTCCGGAGGAGCCGAGGGCCGGCGGGAAGGAGGAGTAAAAGTAGTGTTTCCAGGCGGTCCAGAAGGGCTGTGCTTTCCCGGCTTGTGACAGGCACGGCGCAGCACGCGGGAGCGGGATGCTGGGCGTCCCTCTCTACTGACAGTGATTGAGGCCCGCCTCGAGTTGTGGTCGGTTCTGGGGCCTTAAACAAGGACAACGAGGCCCCGGAACCAGTGCAGAGAACGGCAACGGGAAAAGTGAAGGATGTGGAGCAGAGGTGTTACGGGGAGCAGTTGAGGGAACTGGGATGGTTCAGTCTGGAGCAAAAGCTCAGATGGACCCCATCGCTCTCTCAGCTCTCCAAAAGGTTGTGGTGAAGTGGGGGGCAGCCTCCTCTCCCAGGTAACAGCGATAGGATGGGAGGTGATGGCCTTAAGCTGTGCCAGGGGAAGTTCAGGTTGGATATTAGGAACAGTTTCTCCTCCAAAGGAGCAGTGATGTGGGGGCACAGGATGCCCAGGGAGCAGTGAGTTCAGCGTCCCTGGAAGGATCACAGAATTGGAGATGTGGCACTGAGGGATATGGTCAGTAGTTGGACTGTATGATCTCAGTGGTCTTTACCAGCTTTTATGGTTCTGTGTCTGTATAAGATGTAATCAGCAATATGGAAGATGTAAGAGAAGCACACATTTGTACAGTGGCACAGTAATGGTTAGTTGTCCCCTGCTTTTGTAATAAATCCCATTATTACTTTGACTTCCTTGATTTCTTGAGCCTCAGGCTCATGTTTTCCCTCAGATAATCCTTAGAACTTGTTTCTAAGTGATAGTATTATCAGCTCATAAATGTCAATGTGTGTGCATAAAGTCAGGGTTGTTTTTTTTCTCTTTGTTTCACCATGTGTATCACTTTATGTTTATTCTGAATTTCACCTTTACCTCCCAGTCATTCCATATCAGGAGTTACTTCAGCAGTCCCTCCCTTAAGTCCTATCTTTATTACCCTGGGACAATTCAGTGTTGTTAACAGACTGTCTGAATTGCTGCTTGAATATCTCATATGTCTGTGACGTGTAGAGTATTTATTTGAAGCACTGATCTTGGTGCACATGTGCTTTGCAGTGCTTAAACTTGCTTCCAGCTCTCATGGAGAGAGCGTACAAAAGGAGGAGACTCAGACTGCACTACTGCACAGTGCGTGTGCAATGTGATTTCATTCATTATCTTTAGGGCTTCTTGGATAAGTGCTGGCAATGGGCCAGACCAGTTGTCTTGGTTGTGTGTGCCTGCCACCTCTGCAGTGAGATGCTGGCTCCCAGCCCAACTCGTAGTGCGGTCAGTGGTTCATCTTGCTCAAAAACAATGTGCACAGTAAGCATTAGACTTGTTTCTTAAGTGAACAGGAACAGGCTAGTCCTGTCACAGCATGGAGCAGAGCTGCAGTGCTGTAGCTGTGAGTTGTAACCTCCTGGTCTACTCCATGAATCCATGCTGTGGTTTGGGAGTGGATTTTAGTCACATTTATTCAGCCATTTCAAGGTAGTGAAGTCTCAGACTGTGAATAAAGTAATTTCATGTTCTCTTAAACATGGGAGATACTTGATGATCTCATGCTAGTTCAGTTTGTTTAAGCAGCACAAGGAACCCAATAGCAAGCGTGCAAGCAGACTGAGTCACCCCATCTGCTTTCCCAATGAGCATTCCCTTTCTATTATTTAATTGTATTGCTGTGTCCCACCCTCCTCATGGATTATCATTGTACAGTCCAACTTACATTAGCAGTCCATCAGGTTTGGGGCTTTCATTACATTTTGTGTAATTCTGTTGAATGAGCAAGAGCAGATAAGTTTCTTGACAGTTTTTGCAAGCGTCAAAGATATTCTGTGGTATGTGTGACATCAGGTCCCCTCTCCTGATGCTTTGTGTGTCACCATACTCCCACTCAGCAAGGGACAAGATTATTTAAGCAGTGCACCGGGGCAAAAGGCAGGAGATAATCTCTGCATGTGTCAGGCTATGTACAATCTGTCACTGCAGCGCCTTCCACTGCTGGTAAAGGACAAGGAATTTTTTAGGAGCTGGATGTGGCACCTTGACAGGAAGAAAGTGAGAAATGAGGGTAAGGGCAGAAACTGGAGTCTTTAGGCCATTGATCTGATACTCATTTTGCAAATGGCCATGCTGGGTTAAGACAGCACTGTGCCTGCATCTGCTGTCAGAAAGGGTTCAGAGAATGCTGATCTGCTTTGAGCTGGGTTAGCATGAATAACTCACAAAGGTGGTGCAAGGTAACTGATTACTGTCTGATGTAAGTGATGTATAGTTTTCACTCATCTCGATCTTAAAAATGACAGCTAGCCATGGATTGACTCAGGTACAAGTTTCTTCCTAAAAGTTCCTTCCAAGGAGGCAAGGTCAGAGTGAAAATGTAGGGTTTTTATCTCTAGGGTCTCTCTTTTCTTGCTCTGAAAAGGAGTCTCTCTGTAGGAGAGAGTGGTGTATGAATGCGTGTATATGGATCCCCACTGTCATCAGAAAGGTCCTAAGCTTTGTCCTTACCCTTATCTTCCCTTCTTTTTTTTAGAGAGAGGAGAAGCAGCTAGAGCTGACCCTGGAGGCACTTATCAGCCAGGTGGCTGACCTGAAGAACTCATTGGTCAGTTTTATCTACAAGCTGGAGAATGAGTACGATCGGCTCACGTGGTAAGGCATCTCACAGGGCACTGCCACTGATCACTGCTGAAGCTCTTCCCGACTCTGCTCAATAAGTGTAATTAAAAGCTGCTAACTCATTGTCCACAGGCTTACCTTTGCTTTTCATGTTAATGTTGGAGAAACCATTGAACTGCCACCAGAAAAACAGTTGAGATTCATTTCTTCTGCACTGTGCAGTAGTACTCATACCAGCACCTGGAATCTAAGTGCTTTATGGGAACTGGTGTAGTTGCTTGCATCTGCAGGGACTGGAAACTCTTTGGACAAAAATATCTTAGAGACCCACGTATGCTGCAAAATAAGTAAACATTCTTTCTGCATTTCTTGACCTTTTTGGCTTTCTCTGTTTCTGTTATAAACTGCATTTCTATGCTTGTGTTTTTCTGGTTTGGCATGTTTTCTCAGACAATCTGAGAGACTTGAAAGGTGGTATTCTCTTCCTGGTGGACCATAAGGCTGATGTATCTTAACTATGCAGTATCTTAGACAGTTTCTGCTGCAAAGATTCACAGACAGCATTTGTAGGCGATGAAGTCCCCAGAGAGAGCAAACTGAAGGGGATCTTCTTGACAAGATTATCCATTATTTTGCTTTACTATCCCTTAGTCTTGATAGCCGAGATATAAAAACTGTCTCTCTTGGCTGTGCTGCTTAGGAGTGAATATGGGTCTCAAGACTTCACTTTAGAATTTCACTGGGAGAGTTAGTGATAAGAAATGCACTGCTCCTGTATATGTTACAGAAATCCCAAACAACTGCCACTTCCAATGATACTTGTAAAGTCCCTTGGCTATTTGCAGCATTGTATGTAGAGAGTCTGGAATCTGTCCACACCTACACTTTCAGCTCTAGGTTTTACTCTTTACTGTTTGGATAAATAAGAATGTTATTTCCTTGGTTCCCAGATATTTGAATGAGGAACAGATAAAAGCCATCTGTGGTATCTGTTTCCATGTTCTATTCTCTTTCCCAGGCCTTCAGTTCTGGACAGCTTTGCATTGCTCTCAGGACAGCTGAACACTTTAAATAAAGTGCTAAAGCATGAGAAGACCCCACTATTGCGAAACCAGGTTATCATCCCCTTAGTGCTGTCTCCAGACCGTGATGAGGAGATCATGGTAAGAAACTTCCCACTGAGTGTTGGACCTGGAGTGTCAAAATCTGCAACATCCCTGCTTCAGTTTGCAGTTCTTTGCACTTTGGCATTCCTCAGCTCTGAGTGTACAGAAATAAAAGGTTATGAATAGTTCTTCCTTGGAGCTGCTTTGCTGGGGGGTGAGTGTACACTCACAAACGTTTGCTGTGGCCATACTTTACAGGATATACCCTTGCTAAACACATTATTTTCATGAAGTCAAGGACAAAGGAGGTGATATCTCACTGTGTAACTGGAAGGCTGCCTTACTTGATTTTCACTGCCATAGCTGTGCAGTTTGTCTGACAGTTACATCTCAATTTGCACTGATTATCACCTTACCAACACGGGGTGTATTACAGAACCTATAGCATGCTCTGGCAATATTCTTTGCTTGGGTGAGAAAGCATTTCAGTTGACTCCAGCCAAACTGTCCGGCAGCATATGGGACTGCAGATTCCTGTGTGTTGGTCTGACCAAACAGACACAGAGCAAATTCTTAGACAGATCATTGAAACTTCCTAATGCTCCCCCACGCCAAGGTTTTCCCACAGCATTCTAGTAGGTCTTGTTCCAGTGTCCTGTGCTCTGCTCTTCAGCTGCCTGAGGGCTTAGCTGGAGGAGGGGACCCTGAGTGTGTGTTGTCCAACTGTTGCAGCGGCAGACAGAGGGGCGCGTGCCAGTCTTCAGCCACGAGGTCGTGCCTGACCACCTGCGAACTAAGCCTGACCCGGAGGTGGAGGAGCAGGAAAAGCAACTGATCACAGATGCAGCTCGCATTAGCCCTGATGGAGCACAGGTAGGTGAAGAAGAGTTTGATACTTCTGTCACTTAGTCCTAGGACTCAAGATGCCCTTTAACTGAGTTTTCTTCAAGCTTATAGCTAACAGTTTCCTTTGTTGGTATGCCTTTTTCTGCCTGAGATATCTCCAGATAGCCCTAGCTGATGTTTGGGTTACAAATCTCACATAACAAGGGTACCCAGCTTACTGCCTGCTCACAGGAGGTGCTATTAGACCAGTCAAAGAAAGGCAAAAGCTGTAACATCCCAGTAGTGCCCTCCTGCATGCATTGGAGCTGGGCTGTCTAGGCTCTGATACCAAAATATTTATATTTGGTTGCTCTAAAAAGAGAAAGATGGCTCATTTACCTTGCTGACTTGTACGGCATTGGAAGTATCCTGGCAGTTACCAATGATTTTTATTTTGCAGAAACAGATCCAAAGCCTAAATAAAATGTGCTCAAATCTGCTGGAGAAAATCAGTAAGGAGGAACGTGAATCTGAAAGTGGAGGTATGTTGTTGAGATGGAAATGGAGTACATGGTCAAAGCAGCTGACTTGAGAACAGTGGAAAAATAGGTAAAGCAGAGAGCCTAGAGAATGGGAAGTGAGGATGAGCACAAACAAAAACATGGAAAAGCATTTTTGGGGGCACTCATGTTTGGAGGAGTTGGCTTCTTCTGACCCCCTTCCTTGAGCAGCACATGCCAAGCAAACTATCAAAAAATTAAATTCAGGACCAGCTGTGATAATTTTCAGACTCCATTGCCAAAATGCTCAAAAACTTTTTTTTTTTCCACAGGATTACGACAGAACAAACAGACTTTCAACCCTACAGATACCAATGCACTGGTGGCAGCTGTGGCCTTTGGGAAAGGATTGTCAAACCGGCGACCCCCGGGCTCTGGAGGATCTGTCCAGTCAGGTCAACCAGGAGCTGGTGCCATCATTGCGGGGGCTTCAGGCATGCAGCAGGTGCCAATGTCAAGTGCACCAGCTCAGCAGCAGCCAATGCTGGCAGGAGTGCAGATGGCACAAGCAGGGCAGCCAGGTAAATATGCTGCACATCTGACAGTGACTGAAAAGCGGGAAGCAAGAAAGGTGAATGCAGATGTAGAGATCCTTCTCCAGTCACTTTTTAAATATTACCGAGTAAGAGGATCTTTTCTGTCCCTAAGGATTTAAGTCAGGGTGTAAAAGTGGATTAATACTTATTTAAAATTTTCTCAGAGTTTGAAGTAGATCCCAACTATCAGCTTCTTAACTTGCACTACAGTACCTGTTTAATTACAAAGTTTGTGAATGTAGGGCTCAGTGTGGAGAAATCACAATGTGTTTTGTAGGGATCTGTGAATTATTTAAGCTGGGGGGGGGGAAGCTGTCTGAAAAGAGCCAAAGAAGGACTTCTTATACTTAATAGATTGCATTTATGTCAAGTATCAGGTGAAACGCCTGAGCAAAAGTAATTTGACTTTACTTGACCAGTACCTAGGCTCTAACCTAGTTACATGATTGGATCTTTGGATGTTCAGCTGAGGCTAAAAACATAAACCTAAGGAATTGCTAGGGAAGAAACACAGACACAGAGTATCATTGTATAAATCCATTAAGCACCAACATCTACATTAAACACAGTTCTGATCTCTGAAAAACTAAACAAAAAACCAAGTTACAGTAGAATTGGAAAAGCTCAGGGAAGAGTGTCAACATTCAGAGGTCTGGAGTGGCTTTCACTGTGGCTTCTGAAGGAAGACTTCAGAAAGTTTTGTTAGTTCATTCTGAGGATAGCTACTGGACGTAGCCTGCAGGTAGGAGGAAGAAGGTATAGAAGCCTTAAAATCTCAAATTGTATAAAGAAACTGCATGGAGTTTCCCACAGTATGGAAGGATCAGTGAAAGCACTAATGAAAATATTAGCTCTGCAGGCCTGACTTTGTACTGTCATACTAATGGAGATTTTAGGTATTGGATATTTTAATTGGTGTTTTCTTGCTTATGTAATGACTGTGTTGTTCAGAAATGAACTTGAGCAACGATATTAATCCAAGGTTAATTATGTATTTAGAAAATAATTTCCACTGTGATTTGGAAACGAAGAAGTCCTCTGTGATTTCTGGCTGCACCCACAAACACTGTCTCCAGGATGGGAGGACATCCCATCTTATATGACTTCTGTACTTTAGGTTGTGTGCACTGCTTACAAGAACACTTGTCCAGCCTGTGTAACCACCTCACCTCATTTGATAAGAGCTGTACTGTTTGGCCAAAGGTCCATCCCATTGTCTTGGTCCTGAGAGTGGCCCATGGTGGAGGCTGGAAGAGTGTAAGAACAAGCTATATCCTGACAGCCACCTCTAGCTGTTGTTGTTCAGGGATGTTTTAAGCCAGAGCTTGATTTAAGACCAGTGAGTGTAAGAGCCATAAATTTTGCAGTTCCTTTTTGAATTACAGTATTGAATCCTACGAGGCTTTGTGACAATGTATCCCACAGTATTATTGTATGTTTTGCTTAAAATATTTTCTTTTTTTTAATATATTGTTTACCATAAGATGTTTTTTCTTTATCTGTGTTGTGAGAAATAGTCAATGACTGAATAATCATTTTTTCAGCTACCTTCTCCATTCTGTTTTTCACTTCTTGGAAGTCTGTTGTGTCCTCTTCTCTGCATCCATTTTTTCTTTTTTTCCCAACTGACTCTGCTTAATATAAATTTGTGTGGGAAGTTTAATATAGTTTGAGTAATTTTTGTCTCTTCTAATAATTTCTAGACTAGGAGGACCAGAACTGGCATTAAACGTGGAGGTTGGTGGCCCTGCATGTGGCAGGAGGGTTGGAGATTCATGATACTTGAGGTCCCTTCCAGCCCTGGCCATTCTGTGATTCTGTGATTCTGTAACTGCAGTTACTACAATAACACAGATGTGGGTGAACCCTATGGTCCTGTTCACTCTTCCTTATGAAATAATATGTGAAAGTATTTGTCTTCTGATTGTTAGCAAACACTGACGAGACGTCAGGTTGAGGTCCCTTCCATCCCAAGCCGTTCTGTGATTGCCTGCCAATTCATTGCAGGCAGTGACCTGCTTTAGATGTCTTTGCGAGAGGTTAAACACTTCTATTCTATGACATATTTATTCTTCTCCTGCTATTCTACACTTTCAGTTCTTGGAAGTGACCAGATTTTCTTTTTGTCCTCATTTGAGCACGCATGCTGCTTTTTGAAGGAGAGTTCTCTGAATATTCCTCCATGTGGATCTTTAATTGCTATCTTTTTAAAATTTTTGTGATAATCTGAGTTTTGTCTAACCCTGTACGCTTATCCTAGGCTGCTTGTATTGTCTTTGAACACACTCATGTGTGATTGGTATCAGCAAAAGCAATAATGCCCAAGAGGTGCATGTGGTTAAGATAAATGCTGTGTAGAAGAGGATACAGCCTATTGTGCTTGTCTCTGAAATAAAGCGGGGATCAGTTTGATTTCTTATGTCAGGACTGTTGATAGCAAGCTCTATGGGACTGAATGTGTCCCACGCTCCAGTTGGAGCCTCCTGAGAAGGTCTTAAGATGGAGCGAGGATAGAACTAGCAAGGGGACGTAGGTCCTGGCAGGAAATGTCAAGGAGATTTCTCAACAAAGAAAAGTGCTAATTTGTAGGAGAGAGTGATTGTATTAGGTCATAAGCTGAAGGGTGCTGTAGTAGTAAGCCTGATGTGGTGCCTGGAGTGGAAAAAAAGTTTGGGTAGGACTGTTGTACTCTTTACACACTCTTGAGCAAATTAACTTTCTTAGTGCTGATTTTGTATTGCTCTTTATTTTTTCTCTCTCCAGGAAAGATGCCAAGCGGCATAAAAACAAACATCAAGTCTGCCTCAATGCATCCATATCAGAGATGAGCCAACATGAAGCAGAGCCAGGGAACAGCAGTTACCCGCATTGTTCCTGATGGACCCAGCGCATGTGGATTTCTTACAGAACTTCTCAGTCCCTTTGCATATATACACTACGTCCACAGAGCTGGGTGTGATGAGACCCTTCCCTGGGTTTTCTTTTAGTGCTGGGTGGCTTGTGTGGAGCTGCTAGTGGCCATGTCTTCTGGAGACAAGTGCTCTATTCACCCAGAGCAGAGGGCTTTACTTGTGATATCAATCCCATTTGCTCCGGGCCTAGCAGGAGTGCATCTACCCTTTTTTTGATACAGAGCCTGGAGAGCTTCATGGACCACTCTGCTCCTTGTTTCTGTTGATTCAAGATGTTCCTACTCCCTGTTGAATAAAGACTTTGTTTTGCGTATGGCGAAACACCGGTGTCCATCTCCTGAGTCATAAGCAGTTTTATTTTTCTTTGGGTAAGGCAATAGAGAGCTCTAGACCAAAATAGACAAGAAACATTGGAGGCTGGATGCTGGAGGGTGCTGGAGCTGCAGGCTTGGGTGTGTGGAGGTATTATATAGTGAGTCAGCAGGGTACAAACATGAATAGTAAACATCTTGTTCTTTGTAAGCCTATCATGGCTATTCCCTGGAAAGCAAAATATTGGTGACAACTATTGCAGGACCCACAGTGAGAAAACAGCATTTCAAGAGCTGAAGCACTGAGCTTTTGTGTTCTGATGCTGCTGCAAATCCCAGCTGGATTTGATTTTACTTCTATAGTTTCCTGCTTCTGCATTCCTATAAAGTTTCTAAGCTACTTTAAAAGTGGTTATTTGCTTCAGGGAGGTCTTTTGGTTTTGCTCAGGGTTGTAGCACTTCAGTTAACCAGGCCACGGAATCTGCCCATTTCTCTTTGAAACTAGGCATTGTGAAGCCATCCCTGTTCTCTTTCTGCCCTTGAGCTGTAACATATAATCTGCCTAATGAAGGATTCCTCTGCAAATCAAGGGTGGGGACGCATACCCCCAGAGCATACTAGTATGTGCTAGCTATCTGAAAGAGAATCATCTTGCTTCTTGCTGCTTTCGCCTGGACTTCCTTTTTGACTTGTGGTGAAAGCCAGTACTGTATTTTACTCAATAGCATCTGTCAGCAATCTTAAGGGTGAGGAAATCTCCACTCGGCAGATAGAGTCTGCAGCTGCTCCTGCACCGCTTGCCTCTGGACTGATCAGATCCATTGCATTGGTGGAGGCTGTGGGCTGTTTTCCCAAATGAAACTTTGGGAAGACTCTGTTCCAGAAAACTGTGACCAGAGCAGTTATCAGCCTTCTTAAACGTGCAGACCCTGGGAGTTGTTCACTGGAGTTGCACACCCTGTTGTGAATTAAAATCTATTCATCAGAGAAACACTTTGCCACACTATTCTTTCTTGCTGCTTAGAAGAAATCCTTGTGTTGCTGAGGTTTTGTGGATGGTGGCTTGAAAAGCACTGAGCAGGCAAGTAGGTAATTTAACTGGATGCATAGTTTGTGTGATCAGCAAAGCAACCACATTATGAATGAATCCAGCTGCATGTCTGCAGCAGTGTCTTCCCTCCTAACGCAGAGCTCACTGCGCTGTCAGTGGCTACTGACTGCTGTGGGGAACTGGTGTGAAAGCAGGGGCACTCAGCTGGCTCTGGTGCAAGGTTTTTAGGCAGTGCTGAGAGCTGTATGACAGGCCGTACCCAGCAAGGGGCTGAGTGCTGCAGGGATGGCTGCTCCCTGCCCTAGCCCCCTCCTTGTTTTGGCTGGGAAGGAAGGCAGAAAAATGTCAGAGGAGCTTGCACCAGATCCGTGCTGCTTGTGATCATACATGGAGCTTCGGCTCTAGGAAGTTGCGTTGCTTTGCTTTGTCCCCCAGACTGGCTTCCTTATAAAGCTAAAATATGTCAGGACTGGGGCAGCCTGGAACATGGGCAGAGCTTGGCTGCCTGCCACCCACACTAACCTGGCCCTCTGAAAACGCCTCCAGTAGGGCAGGCCAGACCTTTCACACACTTGGATGAGAGGAAGGGAAATACGGGCTGGGTTTTTTTCCGCAGATTACAGCACTGGGGAGGCCGGCAAGCTCGCCAGTGTAACTTCCTGTATGACACAGCCTGTCCTGAATTAGTTCTTGTATAAATTATTGTTAGGAAAACAGTTGATCCTGAAGTGACATGACTGTGCAGTGGCTGGTAGGTTGCTGTAAAGGTTCGTTTTCGTTACCTAGTGTGCTTATGTGGATGCTGCGTTTCTTCCCATTCAGGCTGGTGGATCTTCTCAGACAGGGAACCCCCAGCTGTTAGTCTCAGGGAGAGGAGCCTGGCTGTCGGGATCAAGTCCTTGGTAATGATAAACTATGTTGATGGAGGTCTCAAAGCCTTTTGCTTTAAAAGGCATATATTTTTTTTCCCAGCCTTTGGCTCCTGTCCAAATGTTCTTAATGCATTTGTGTCCTCTGGGACGTGAGGCTAGGACACGCTATTCAAGCTGTGGGAATGGGAATTTCAAACACAGTTTGAGTTACCTTAACATCACATCTAGTTGCTGCCAGTGCTCAGACGTTTAAGCAGGGAATGGGAATAGGCCTTTTACCCATGAAGTCACACTGGAAATTCATGGTCCACTGACTGTAACTGTGGCCGCTAAGTCCTGTGGGGATTCACCATTCCCAGTGTGTCAGAATAAAAGCCCAGCCTCGTGGGACCAGGGCAAGGCTTGGGCTGTGTCCTGATGTGGCAGCAGGTGCTCAAGGACAGGTGCTCTCCTCACATGCACTGGGACTGTTGCATTCAGAGCTCCTGGGGCTTTACATCCCGCCTTGTCTAGTCAGTGAACATGTCTCTTGCCAACCAGGTAATTTCAGCAGAGAGGAGGCTTGTGGCTCAGGAAGCTCTGCTTGACTCTCTGTGCCCCAGCTGGAGTGCAGGGGTGTGATGGAGCGCAGGCACTGAGCTTTCCCCAGACCTGCCTGAGTGGCAGTCAGGCTCTGGAGATGTCTGAGTGGACACGTGTTGCTCACAAAATTGCAGAGGCTCCAGATTGCTGCTATGCCCCTGGCTCCCAGGGTGGCATGCTTTACCTGCCATTATTTTGTTTCCTTCCATGTCATCAGCTTTAAGCTGCTCAGCATTCCCTGCTAGAAGCACATCGTCTGTTCCAGCTCCCAGGAAGCACCAATCTCCTCTGCTGCCTCACACTCTTGGCAGCCTTGTTCCTTCATCGCTGTGGTACCAGCCAGCTCTCTCGCAGAGATTTCAAAGTACACAGTGCCAGAAAAATTATCATGTTGGCATGACAGGTTTGCTGTCTGTAATGCTGGATGATTGATATTTATACTTTTTTGTTTTAAGTGTTTATCGATACGATCACATATTTTTCCATCATTATTTTGCATGGAATGACTGTTGAATAGACACACCTGTTTACAAGGCCATCCTGTTTACTTTTCTAAAATGCTGGCACAATATCAGCTTTCTTGTCCTCTGGAGCTTCTCCGGTCTTTCTTGTCATACTGAGTAGTTTGAATATTCTAAAAACAGCCACATTTGTGAAAGTTTTGAGGTGCAGGATATCCAGACTTTCTGTATTTTTAACACTTGCCTTGTGCAATGGTTGTTGAAGGTCTTCCTGAGTTACTGTTAGAGTAGTGTTTCATCTTTGTGATAGGAATGCTTCATCTGGCTTCCTCCCAGAGGCAGGAGCAAGGTATTTATTGCCTTTCCTTCCTGCTCTGCTCTCGCTAGTCCCATCATTCTCACCTCATGTTGAGCTTCCAGCCATGCTGAAATCCCCACTGCCTGTCCCATTGCTGCCTGGGCTGTCCCCCTCCGCACACTGTGAGCCCAGCATGGTGCCATCATTTCCCAGTATCTCTCTGCATCCACCAAGCAGCACAAGCAACATCTGCCATGTGTTTGTTTGCCTGGCCCGTCACCAAGCAGAGATGTGCCTGCAGGTGTCTTTTTTTTATTAAGAAAGAAAACACGCACAAGTTTTTGTTTGTTCTTTTAACCTACAGATCTTTTAAGTGGATGTCGTCATGTCATGCCTTTATGAAGGAGGTGAAGTATGCAAGGTGCAAGACAGCTGAGGGAAGGCAGCCCTTGCAGCCTTTACTCTCCATACTGAAGCCAAGTTCGGATTTTGGGGTGGGCTGCAGGGCCGGTGTGACGTGGCCTTCCTGGGATGAAAGGTTTCTGGTGGTTGACTGAGCACTTCTTCTTTTTTCCTTTTTGCTAAGAGCAGTGCTCACGCTGCCAAAATGTGCCAAGCCAAGTCTCATAACTGCACCATTGCAGAGCTTCACCTGCAACTCACAGAGGCAAAAACATTTGGACGTGGCAGCAAAAGGTGCCTCTGTACTGGAAATGGAAAATCTCGAAAACTACTTTTAAGTCCAAGGCCCAAACTGAGAGAAAATTGCAAAGTGGTAGAAGCAGGAATCCCTGCCTGGCTCTGCATTTTCCCTGAGCTCTCGCAGGAGCTTGATGGCCCTGAATGAGCTGGATCACGCTTAAGTGACAGATGGTGTCACTTAATGTTACCACTCACATGGATGCTGTGGTAGTAAAAGCGTGCTCAAGAGATGGGATGTTTGGATGCATCTGTAAGAGATATCATGAACTGTTAGAGTTCAGGCTAGTGTGACTCCACAGTGTATTTATTGTCCTTGTGATCATGGAGCGTTCTGGATCCATGAATGTTGCCTTGGTGGAAAATCGCACTTAGAAATTAATGAAATCCTTCTGCAAATTGAGGGAGTGCCTAAAACCAATGCAAAATCTGTTGACAGGCCTCTTGGAAGATGAAGCTTTTATCTCTTTTTTTTGTGTGTGTCAGTGGTTGGGGTTTCTTTGGTGTTTTTTTTGTTTGTTTGTTTTGTTTTTGTTTTGTTTTGTTTGTTTTTTAATAAGAAAGGAAACTAGTGTGTGTATTTCTCTGACTAAGACACATATTTTCCAAGGTCTAGGGATAAAGTCCTAGTTCCTGCAGCGGCTACCTTGTCTCTGTTGCTCAGATCCCGTCACTGATTTACCTGCTCACTGTAACGCTTCTCCCTCTTTTGCCTTTGGGTCCAAGCTGCTTCTGGCTTGATCAGCAGATCTGCAGTAGTACAAAGGCCCCGCAGTGCTTTGTGGCATGGCAGCTTCATCTCTTTCAAGCAAAAACTACCACAGGGTAGTTTTGCTTTTCATTTCATTGAATGTTTGCTGGCCAGCTTGGGGGCCAAAGGGGCATCACTGCTGTCCATGGGTGTTATTTCCTTTGTGAATATACAGTGTTCCCCAGGATGTTCCCGATCTGAATCCAAACCTTTCCCTGCAATACCTACTGCCAGATGGCCCTGGTGGGTTGCACCTGGTTGCTGCAGTCACCCACTGCTCTATGCAGCACAGGCC